GTAATGTTGTGCTGCAGTAACCTTCTGTTTCTGTCTTTTTGATGCACCTTGAGTGTATTTATAAAATAGAATAAAAAATATTTCATTAGCATGCAGAATGCAAAGATTCTGATTTCTTTGGGAAGTCTGCATTCAAGTTAACCATGCTATTGAAGGATATACCTTGAGATCATAATGAAAGAAGCCGAGAAGCGTTCTGATGTGCTGGTTAGCATGTTGCAAAAAAAGGACAAAGCCATAGAAATTTGAAGACGACTTCAAGGAAGACACAAGTGAAGGTAGGCTCGTCGGAGTTAATTCGATATATCGATTGCATTGCTTACGATACATCGGAGTAAGTTTGCAGTGCTTGGAAGAAAAGATATAAACACTTGTAGTCATAGGGAACTTTGCGAGCGATCGAGATGAGGAACACGGTGTAATTCGACTTTTCGAAAAGGCGAGGAAAGGAAAGTCTACTGCAGCGTGTTCCAAGCTTCGCAGTTCTGCTATTGCCAATGATAATGTATCAGCAATTTAGCATAGTTGCTAAAAACTTACCTGCAATGTTCCATTTGAACTGCCAAGTGGTGCCAAGCACAGGTATAGAGTATGGTCCTGGAATTTTGTCAACACATTTGATGACCCATATCCTTTCTTGTATCAGCAAATACACCTTCTTCCAGTACAGTATAAAGAATATAACGAACGCAGCGGCGATGAGTGGAGCAAGTGCCATGCTAAAAAATTCTTATAAATGTACATAGAATGACAACTAAAGATTAACAACACAAAATTGCACATGTTATAGATTATAATATACAATTCGATGATCCGCTCTATAGAAAGCTAATTCGCATAAGAGTCTCTAAACTATTTATAAAACAACTTAAGCGAAATATCAACTGTTTCGATCTTATTGACTACTGCGCAGATTTTGTAAAAGCTATTTGATTTCTTTTTTGTTTCTGTTACAAGGTATTTGAAATAACCGTATGAAATTTGCGCAAAATTTGAGCACCTCGAAGATCTTGATAGCATGCCAAGACTAGGAAGAACCTATTTGTAGATACATAAGCTACTATGACTTTCACCATTATAGAAGCATGAGTCAAAGGTTATGAAAACTGCACCTGCTTGTCATTTTCGCAGAGATTGCAGTTATTTGCTCTCTGTGATTCAAGTTGTGAGTTCTTAGAAGTAAGAGATACCTTCTTGAACTGGAAATGTAATTACGAAATTGTAGTAACCTGAGTTTTGCTCCCGTGGTAGAGATGACATTGTAGAGGGGCACCATCTATCTAATAGAGGTATAAGTCTTGCTCCAAAAAATGAAGACTTTATGTTTGAAAAACTATTCATTCCAAATCATACGTTTCTCTTTCAATAAACACTGGGCAGATTATGAAAGTGTT